TATCCTGATTACGAACCCTTTTTTCCTAGGTATGTCCGCAACAGAAAAGGAATATCCTGGACTGGAGAAGTTAACATACTGGAAATTGTAAAATGTTACTTCCCATTGTAGATTATTGGTGATATATAAAGCCCAGAAAGAAAATTAGAAGCAATTAAAAGATGGAAAGAAAGTGGCTGAAAAAGAAGAAAAGAATGCCAGGAATAAAGTATGAAAGTCAAGGACCTGTAAAAGAAGCTAAGGTATGGTCAAATGTGTTTGCAAACCCTTTGTAAAAATATGAGTCCTGAATGTTGAAAAGTAGTAAGAAGGTGATTATCACCGTAGGGAAGTATGGGCAAGGATGCAGATTTAAAAAAATCTATAAAAGAATGCACATTAAAAAAAAAAGTTTAGCCTCTTTTCTAATTAAAAAAAAAAAATACAAGTTCAAATAAACGTGTTAAAAAGAGCTTATTTTGAAATACAATAATCCAGACTGTACACAGAGTATTGTCTGATTTAGTCCTCGAAATCCATCTTGCCCTAAATTTGCTCCTATACTGGTTTGTCATGGTGCCTCCTTCTGAGTTAAGATACTGTTTGGTAAGACCAGATTTAAATGCCTATATTACTACCAGTGAACACACCTGTAAACACAGGTTATTTTGAGCAAAATTCTTAGCCAACATCTTAAATATTACAATTTTAGGTTCATTTTGATAGAGGGAAGAAATGTTTAAAAGAGTCAAGGCTTTGGAGATACAGTGGACAACAAGAGCTAGCTTGAAGGCACTGGAAGCCAAGAAGACATAACAAAAGGAGGCAATATCTAATATTCACATGGACTGAGATATCAGGGCAAATTTATGTCATAATTCTGCATTCAGGAAATAAGTAATAATAACTGGAGCATTCCAGGTACCATATTAAGAACTTTTTAAACTTTTATTTAACAATTTTCAAAGGAAAACACTATTATGACTGTTTTAAAGATAGTTCACTCTACATAGAAAAATAAACCTGGATTTCCTACCTCACATCATATAGTCTAGAAATTAAAGGGCTCATTGTGAAAGTACAACTCTAAAGCAAATAGAAGTGTAGAATATTATTGTGACTTTGGGGTAGGTCAGAACTTTTTTAGGTAAGACCCACAAAATACAAACAATGAATCAAAAAATTAATGGATTTGACTACAGCAAGCTAATGATCCTGTTCAACAAAGGACCTAATAAATAAAATTTATAGATGGGCAATGGACTGGGAAAAAATATTTGCAATATCTAAAATGGACAAGAGATAGATATCTAGAATATGGGTTGTTCTGTAAATAGTTAATTAGTAAAGATTTTAGGTTTTGTGGACCAGGTGGTCTTTGTTGCAATTGCTCAACTCTGCTGTTGTAGCATGAAAGCAGCCACAGACACACAGCTGAACGAATATGACTGTGTTCCAACAAAACCTTATTTACAAAAATAGGTGGTGAGCAGGATTCGGCCTATAGGCTGTAGTTTGTCCACCTCTAATCTAGAATATACAAGAAATTCCTATGCATCAATAAGAAAAATTTAGGACACTAAATGGAAAACTGGGGAAAGAATATCAGTAAGCAATTAGCAGAATAAAAAATCCAAATGGCTAAACAATGGCAAGAGCTGTTCAGTAGGAAAATTTGAAAAATAGTTAATAATAAGGGACAATTATTAAACATCCATCAATTTTTAGCTAAAGACGACTAAGATACGAGAGTGTTTTTCTCTCTCTTTAATGAGAAATTAAATTACATAATATACCTGCTTGGTAATTAAAATGGCAGCTTCCTTTAGCTATTTTTTATACCTCCACTCTAAGTATAATCTATAGTAGCATTAAGTTATGAAATACTTTCCTTTCATTGAATTCATTTGTCATGGTCTGATAAAATATACAATGGATTATTCAAATTAGCATGGCATAAACAGAGTAGCTTGCAAATGCACTGAATAAAAAAGGCTTATTTTCTCAAAGAAAGTATATTGCATGTGTTACCTTAAAAATAAATTTGTTATTCAACTCTATTCCAGTGCTTAAAACTATTTCAGAGTTAAAATAGCTGTGAAATAATGGAAACACTTTTCTTCCCAATCATTTATCACATGTTCATTTATCACCTTTATCACATGTTCATTTACTTAAAGCATATGTATACTATTGTCTGGTTGCTCGTTAAAAGAAATATAGCTTATATTGAATTGTACCTTTTAAACACATGAACTCTGTGTTATTTAATTATATCTCAATAAAACTGCTTAAAAAAAAGATGGTTTAGATATGCAGTCATCTAGTT